AATGTCGCCCTGTACTTATAATTACCTCACCTCCAGACTTCTTAACCATTTCAAATATCAATCCTATCATTTTCAGACATTTATACCGATTGCAAAACAGTACAGACCCAGGACAAGCATGTCTACATCGATAAGTATGACTAATACAGTAGACAATACAATGAACGCTCCCATTCTATTGGTGTCAAACTCTCATATATCATAAAAGAAGACTTGATACAAAGAGTCTGCACACTCTCACATCACCTAACGCTACTGTATGTGTACAAATTTCACTCTCAGTGTCATCTGAGTGTAGTGTATGCCGAGAGTACAGATATATATGTGTGTGTGTGTGTGTGTGTATATATATAATATATAGATGAAATTTCAAAATCATTATGCTTAGAGCCAACAAGAAGCCAGGACAGAAAGGTATATACAGTTAGACATATAATGAAATACTAGCAGCTATAAAACAATGAACAATTGAATATATATGTATATATATGTGTGTGTGTGTTATATATATATATATATATATATTATATAGGTATTATGGATGATTTCAAAATCATTATGTTAGAGCAAAAGAGCCAGGACAGAAAAGTATATATACAGTAGACATAAATGAAATACTATGCAGCCATAAAATGAACAATTGATATATATGTATGTGTATATATATAATTTGTATGATATACTGTATGGATATATGTTGTGTGTGTGTATATATTATGGATGAATTTCAAATCATTATCGTTAGAGCAAAAGAAGCCAGGACAGAAAAGTATATATCAGTAGCTATCTGTACTATGCGCCATAAAAAATGAACAATTGATATCACCTCGTACTGTGTGTTATTATATACATTCTGTCATATCATGTACTCGGATACTATTGTCTGTGTGTTATTTACGGTAGCACTCTCTACATTTGTTGACAACGAACGGCCAGAAAGTTCTCAGCTAATCCTCCTTTACATGAATTCTAGACAAGATCACACTAATGCTGCTCATGAGCACCCACTCGTTCTCGATTCCTATGCAATTCTTTACGGCTGCTGTGGGTCTCTCTTCTCTGTAAAGAGCACTGTATTTTCTCTTTCCCAAGTAACCGGTTTCCGAACAATAAGCCTCCCACTACAAGCCCTGCAGGATGTCTGAGCACGTCACACTCACGACGCACACCACCCCGACAAAACTCACATTTCTTTCCGCATCACATAATTTTTTGACTGCGGCACCCTATCTCTGTCTCGTGTCGTTCTCCATACTCAGGATGCGTGGCCTCGCTTTGCCACATGCCAGCCTTCTGTCAGTCTGTGCACACGCACTATCGCACTGCCACGTCTAAATGCTTCTGCTCTCTTCTCTCTTCGGGCAAAAAAAAAATTTCTGCTCTGGTCACACGATGTTCGATAACCAATCCTGTTTCCGGACTTAGGAGAATTTGCAAGGGAGCAAAAAAAAATAATCATAAAATTGGAGATTATTGCTTACTAATAATTTGTAATAACTCTTGCTTACAGGTAGCCATGAACACCCTTTTTTTTTTTTTTAAAGCATCTACATTAAAAATGGGCTTTCTTATTTCTCTATTTCAATTTTCTTTTTTTTTTTTTTGCTCCTCCCTCTTCTGTTTTCAACGGGGAAGCCGGCATGAACATGAGCCCCGTCTCCCGGCTAAAAAAAACCTGGGCCAAAGTGAAGACTGCAGTTCGACAATTCTGGAGGTATGGTGAAGCTGGTGTGCTCCCCGTCGAGTGGCATTTTGCACCTGTCTAGCGGAACTAGTCGACGGAGCACTGCCTCTTGATCAGGCAATACTGCAGAGGGAAAAACGCCCAGCTATTTTGATCATCCCAGGGAAAAGGAATGGGATTATAATTGAAAGAGGAAGGAAATAAAGTGGACATATAGGAGTAACATTTATCGGGTGTCGGCAGGTGGGAGAGGGAGGGGGATGGGTATATAAAAAAAAAACAAAACAGGCCGGCGTGTGCGTGGCTCACGCCTGTCATCGCTAGCACTCAGGGGGGGGGGGGGGTGGGGGGATGGGAGGCCGAGGCGAGGATCGCTCGAGGTCAGGAGTTCGAGACCAGCCTGAGCAAGAGCGAGACCCCCGTCTCTACTATAAATAGAAAGAAATTAATTGGCCAACTAATATATATAGAAAAAAATCAGCCGGGCGTGGTGGCCCCATGCCTGTATAGTCCCAGCTACTCGGGAGGAGGCTGAGGCAGGAGGATTGCTTGAGCCCAGAAGTTTGAGGTTGCTGTAAGCGAGGCTGACGCCATGGCACTCAGTCTAGCCTGGGCAACAAAGCGAGACTCTGTCTCAAAAACAAACAAAACAAACAAAAACAAACAAAATAAAACACTGGATTATCCTCAAAAAAAAAAAAAGAAAGAGAAAGAAAGAGGGAGGAAATAAAATCGGGTGACTTTGTCCTTTTATAGTAGAGGTTGTCCTATATTTGGGGTTATATTTAGCAAACGGTGACCTGTCCATCAACCTTGAGTGCCAGAAAACAATTTGGGCTCTAAGAGTTGAGGGTTTTACTTCACTTCGAGCTACTACTCCTTTTATCTGTGGTGCCCTGGGGCAGGAGTTCCCATGCTGCAGAAATGTTCATGCCATCCTCTTCTTAGCACATCTCGCTGAGGTGGGAAGACGCCTTTCCCATATGATTCCGAGGATAATGAGAATTGGCGCAAGGTTTGTTGTGTTTGAATCATAGCTCATCTCGTAGTACCTTGGTGGTTGGTGCTTTGAACACTATCTGTTTATTTATTTTTTTTGAGACAGAGTCTCACTCTGTCGCCGCGGCTAGAGTGAGTGGCCGTGGCGTTCAGCCTCGCTCACTGCAGCCTCCAACTCCTGGGCTCAAGCCATCTCCTGCCTAGCGTCCCCCCGAGTAG